CCAAAGAACACCATTTCTGCATCGACCCGGCTGGTGCCTAGAGTTAAGTATTCCGGTTTAGTGTTTGGGATTTAGACTCACAGTTGGGTATCTGGGGCCGAAATCCGAAAGGACCTGCCGCACAGTATACTTCAAGTATCGGACTAGCCAGAAGAGTAATTCAAAAAGTCATTGAAATGTATGCTTGTCGGGTCGAGGATATCTCGGATCTGTGCAGTAGCCTGGTTGGTAGTGAGAGCCACAGTCCTGCAGAGAAGGCTTGCGTTCTGCTCCCAGACGGCAACGTCAGCCTGAGCCCCAAATTGTGCGTGGTACAGTCTCTCTGTGGGGCATGTGTTGCGCAGTCCTGGCTGATGCCAATCACCGGTGATTGTCAAAGCTACACCAGGGCATAAAGTCTGAACTTCGGAATAGACCCGACGGCCTTGTCCCTAGCCCATATCGTTCGAAATAAGCTGAATGTACCGTCACGGACCCTAAACCCTAAACCCTAAACCCTAAACGCTACCAGCCCAAGCTTGCTTAGCTTCTTCAAGAGGATACGACCGAGGGACTGCCATCTCGGCAGCGTTTGTTGTGCTCTAAGGCTCTCCAGTTTGGAGGTTAGCCCTGAGCGAAGGGTGGATGAGGACTAGGATACACCCTAAATCCCGAACCCTATTTTTTTGATAATGGACGAGGATTATGATAAACCCAAAATCCCAAACCCTATCTTATGATAACGGATGAGGTTTATCAGAAACCCTAAATCCGAAACCCTATCTTATGATAATGAGATAGCTATTGATGAATGCTGCTGTTTAGCAGGTGGCCTTCGAGTGAAACCCAAGCCAAGGAGTCTCCGAAGCCCGGATTCCTCTACTCTCCATTGTAGTTCCTGTTTGCGGGTTAATTACCTTGTAGGACCCTAATTATATATATATATATACATAAATTTAAATAGAGCTGATTAACCCCAAAACGAACTACAACGGAGACTATGGAGGATTTAGGGAACCCGAAACCCGAAGCACTGATGGGTCCAGGATGTTACCTCACGCCGCTCGGAGAACCCGATCTACAAGATGAGGAGGTGGGTCTTGGGCTTCTAAGTAGGGTTGAGGGTTAAGGGATTTGGGTTTAGGGTTAAGGGATTTGGGTTCAGGGTTTATTTGGGTTTAGGGTTAAGGGATTTGGGTTTAGGGTTTATAGGGTTTAAGTAGGGGTTTGGGCTTCTAAGTACGTCACGGTCGCAGTGTGCCAGCTGTGGGCTGTGGATCAAAGCCCTTGGGAAAAGAGGGAGGCTTCTTCAGTTCAGGGCCCGGAGCTTCTAGGTACCTGGCGTCATCGGTTTTCGTGATTAGGAGCCCGCTATATGCATGAGCCCTATGTAGAGAATGCTCGAGTCCGCTGCACGAGATGTGGTATGATGCTGGCCGCGCATAGCTTTGCATACCTACGCGCGATTTGCAGGGCCCTGTCGAGGTTTTCGTCGTTACTACGTAGCTATGGCGCTGCCATGTCTTTTATGATAAGACAAGGGCCTCTAAACGAATTTGACCGTGCTACTGCCCTAAGAAGCTATTGATTCCCGATGTTATCATCGACTACGTCTTAAATCCCCTAAACCCTAAACCCCATAAGCCCTTAATCCTTAACCCGAACCTCTACGGCTAAGTCACGGCGTCACGGGTTTGTGGACTCGGCAGTGAGTGAGTAAATTATGAGGGCTTGAAAACTCGCTATTGAATTGAATTGCTGTTCCATAGGGTTTTAGTGTTTGGGGGGTTTACCCATAGGCCCCATAGTTGTTCCTTTTTGGGGTTCATATTTAGAATCCTATAAGGTAATCCCAAAAAGGAGCTACTATGCGGCCTATTGGTTCTAGTCTGACGAACCTTGTGACTTGCGGTCTACACTGGGGCCCTGGTATTCTGAAACTCCCCTACCTTGAATACCATAACCTTCTTTTTTGCACAGACCCTCTAAATTGTATGTTAGCGTTGCGTTAACAATAAGTACTTTAAGAGCCTACAACAGAGTAAACCCTAAACCCTAAACCCACAGTAGTTAAGGCAGAGCTTGTAATGTAAAAGTCAGGGGTTTTTGCTGGGGGTAGACTTGGCAGAGTGGTGGTTGCAGCTGTTAAGGAAACCGAAAAGATCGATGTTTCCAAATAATTCGGTTTTAGGGTCTAGGATTAATCGCCCTAAGCCGACCCTCAAATAGCAAACCATGTAATTCGAAGCTTTTTTTACAAATCCCTGTTGTACTTCCGAAATTGTAATTCCTAGGCCCAATACACGAAATCTTGAACACTAAGCCGTTCGGCGCATGATCCACAAGACCCTGGACCCCAATCCCTAAACCCTCAACCCCTAAGCCCTAAACCCCTAAACCCTAAACCCCCAAACCTTAAACCCTAAACCCTCAACCCCAAAGCCCTAAACCCCTAAACCCCTAAACCTCAAACCCTCAATCCTTAAACCCTAAACCCTCAACCCCAAAGCCCTATACCCCTAAACCCTAAACCCCCAAACCTTAAACCCTCAACCCGAAACCCTAAACCCCAAGACGTTTGAATGCAGTTGCAGGCCAACGTCGTCCTGGATGCGCCGATCCAGGAGGGCGACGAGGATGAGGATGAAGAAGTCAGGGAGCTGAGTCTGTGTTTATGGACCTGAGAGTTTTGGATTTAGGGCCTTCGGGTTTAGGATTCAGGTTTTCCGGGGTTTAGGGTTTAGGG